CAGTCAGTCAGTCAGCCAGTCAGCCAGTCAGTCAGTCAGTCAGTCAGTCAGTCAGTCAGCCAGTCAGTCAACAAGTCAGTCAGTCAGTCAGTCAGCCAGTCAGTCAGCCAGTCAGTCAGTCAAGGATTTGTGTTCCATTTGCATAGAACAATGGTACTTTCAGATCAAAGAGCCACCTCCTTTTCTCCTTTCTGGCTTTATCTGCCCTGGCGGCTTCTGCTCTTTGAAGTCGCAAAGGGCTGCTCCAGGTCGCCTTTGTCACTGTGTCTAAAGACAGGGATCTCCTTGCTTGCTGGTTTTTTCCTGGACTTGAGAGGAGTGGCTTTGTTCACCCCTGCCTGGCAGTGAGCGAGCACTGGTTCTGGGTGGTTTTGTGAGTGCAGCCTGTTCACAGAAGTCCTTACGATTACCTCAGACCATCAAAAAGGAGAAGAAGGAGCTCTTCACTTAGAGCCGCGGCTGGATGTCAGTCACACCACTGAGGCGTTGTGTTATTTTTCTTGGAGTTTCTGCAGCACTGGAGATTGAATCCAGAGCCCGATGCATGCTAGATAAACTGAGCCACACTCCTAGCCCTTCCTTTTTATTTTGAAACAGGGTCTCCCTAAGTTGCCCAGGCTGGCCTCAAACTTGTAATCCTCCTGCCTCAGCCTCCAGAGCAGCTGGGATCATAGGTTTCAGTCACCATGCACAGCTGACAGTGAGCTGTGTCCGTTTGAAGGAAACACCCTCACTGCCTGTAGCCTTCTCCCACATATCAAAGAATAAAAGTTAATCCCAATGGTGGTGAACAGCAATATTTCAAAGGGTTACGGAGAGGCTGCCAGCAAAGCAGCGCACACCTGGAAGGAGGGCTGAAGCAGTGGCTGGAAAGTTCAAGGCCAGTCTGTGGGTCTGGTGAGAGCTGGTGTCGAGGGCCCAGGCTGCAGCCCAGGGTTGTCACGCCCTGGGTTAGATCCCCAGCACTGCACAGACAAACCTTGTTACAGTGAGGCCTCTTCAGATGCCCGGGAAAGGTTCTGGTGCCAGTCTTCCCCGAGCCAACCTTTTGTTCTTTACTCAGGAAATCCCGTAGTAGGGCAGATTAGCCACCTTCACTGCACAGGTCTACCAGAAAGAAGGGAGCAAAACTATGACTCCGAGGCTAAGTTAGCAGTGGGAAAATCAGTATTTTCTACACTTCGACACACAACACACCTTAGGTAGAGGGGGGCTTTTTTTCTTGTTATGACATTTCTAATTTTTAATAAGTCAGTTTAATAGTTTTCATTTGTGTATCATGTATTTGGTTTGTTTTGGGACAGGCTCACTCTGTAGCCCAGTCTGGCCTCAGACTCTGGGTGATCCTCCTGCCTCAGCCTTCCGAGTACTGGAATGACAGCCACACATTGCCACCACACCTGGCTCTGTTTAGCAGTTTTTAAAGCAATAATTGAAGAAAATTTGACATCCAAATCATTGTGTACCTGTTTAACATTGACTTGGCCATTTCCATGGGTTTCAGTACCACGTTAACTTCATATTCTGTTCAATCAGGAAAGAGGAACAAAACTAAGCACTGCGTTCATTGCTAGGATTTTCCACAAACAGAACAATCTGCAGAACGAACACTGCTGCTTCAACTCTCCAAACACTGAATTCGGGATACAGCCGAAACTTCTTTTTGATAATGCAGATAGGTCGTGAGCAACAGCTCTGAGGCCCTGAACGTTTTCCTATTGCAATCACATGGGTTTTAGTAAAAGATACTGTGAGAATTCATTGTTGTTGTTTTGAGACAGGGTCTTGCTATGTAGCCCAGGCTGGCCTCAGACTCTGGGTGATCCTCCTGCCTCAGCCTCCCGAGTGCTGGGATTATGGGTGGGTCAGTCCCAGGGCCTCATCACGCTAAGTGCATGCCCCACCCACAGCCCTTTTGCTTCCTGTTGCTCAGCCCTGTTGTCTGCCTGACTTCCCCGGTGTCACTTCCTGCTCTGCAGGTGGTCCTTGAGCTGCAGGAGGGGTCAGCTCTGTGCTGGGTAAAGCGCCAACCCACTCCAGTGCTACTCACACTGCCTTTCCACCAAGGCACTTTCTCCACTCTGCCTGCCCGGCCCACTTTGTTCCTCTTTGCACAGGGTTTTAACCACAGTAGTAAAGAAAAGGGAGGCAAAATTGACTCTGTCTTTAATAAGAAGGTTTAACATCGCACTGTTTAGAGGCAGGCACGGTGGCGCACACCTGTCATCCCAGAACTGGGGAGGCTGAGGCAGGAGGATCGCCCTGAGCTCCAGTCCAGCCTGGGCTACATAACAAGAGCCTCTCATAACACAAAACAGAACACAGAATCCTGTGTGCCACTCACTGCTCTCACCTTCTAGTAACAGAAAAGCCAACGCCCTGCTCCAGCTGTGTTCTGGACCGCGCCTGCCGCAGCTGTGAGCCTTGCCCGCCGCAGCTGTGAGCCTGCACAAGGCCGAACCCAGTGGGTGGGGGATGCGCAGGCGCAGGGGCGGTCCTTGGTGGGTGCTTCTGTTGTGGCTTTCAGCTTCTCCCTGCTCTTTCCTGAGTTCGCAGTCAGGAGGCTCAGAGCCAGAGCACGGCAGCTGGATCTGCAGCTCTGCCTGGCCGACTGTCCCCATACAGAGGCGACCATCTCCTAAAGCCTCCCCTGTCCTCTGTCCTGCTCAGCCAGAACCCAGCCTGACGCAGCACCCGGCAGGGCACAAGGGTCACTTGGTCAGTGGGGACAGCGCAGCCTGGCCACTGCTATCCTGCAACGTGGACAGTGCCACCCGCTTCGCCGAGGCTGCTGCCGACAGCAGGAGGCTGGGGCGGGGGAACCCCAGCACCGGGCCACAGACGGTGAATCTTATCTCCCACACCACAGGCAGAGGCACTGTTAGGCTCCTGCTGGCCCGGCACCCTCGCCCGAGAGCAGCTGCTAGCAAACTGCTTTCTTCTCTCCAGCTAGAAAATTAAACTCATTTTTCAATAACATGCAGCTGGGTGTGGTGGTGCACACCTGTCATTCCGGCACTGAAGAGGCTGAGGCAGGAGGAGCACTACCCGAGTTTGAAGCCACCCTGGGCTACACAGTGAGGCCCTGTCGCAAATAAATGAGTAAATAAATAAATTCTGCAGTGAAAGGCTCATCTGTCTTGTCGGTAACTTTGGAAATGCCTCTTGGCTTCCACAACCTGTCGCATAAAATCTTCTGAAAGCATTATTTAGATTTTGCAAGTTGGACCCTAACCATTTCTTTCTCCCAACCCCAGCCTAAACCTTTAAGCAACTTTTTTTTGAGATAGGGTCTCTCTATGTAGCCCAGGCTGGCCTCCAACTTGCAGTGAACCTCCTGCCTCAGCTTCCTGAGTGCTGGGATTACAGGCATGCACCTCCACACCCAGCTCTTAAGTGACATTTTGATGTGTTTCCTGACTTGGTGTAGAGGAAGGCATCAACAAAATGTCTGTTCTTCAAATATGTACTAATAAAAAATAATAAAGTCTGAATTAGAACAAACAAAAGCAGGTGACAGGAAGTGATGCAGTTATTCCATACCGCTTTATTTAGGTACTGTGATTCAAAAACTTTCATAGCATAAATAACCTTTCATGTCATAAAATAACTTAGTACAATTTACAATAAAACTTTTGAGAATTTAACATCTCATCAAAATACAATAAAATATGGTTGGAAAGAAGGTGTGATGAACTCCTTTTGGGTTTTCTTTGACTTGAGAGCATAGAAACCAAAACTACCCAAATTACGGCCGCACGGTCGTCTTGGACAAAGCGAACGCGGTTTGACTTTAATGGAACTCAACCATCCCAAATGCAGACAGTTTGTCTTCCTGCGCGGTTCTTTGCAAGCTTTGTTTCTTTCGACTCAGGTTTCGGTCTCCGCGTGGCTCGCTTCTTCCTTTCCTCCTCTTCCCATCTCCAAAGTCTGCTATCACTCCGCCCCGGAACACGTAGCCGAGGTCGCTCAGGCCTTGGCCTCAGTTTCTGTGATCGGCGCCGGCGTGGGGAGTAATTGAGGAGTAACTACAAGGGTATTTCCAAACTTCGGTGCAATTCGGCTCGGCGTCCTCACTGCTCGGTCACCGCTCGGGCAGGTTGATGACCGGCACCCACTGGTCCATGTAGCGGCTCTCCCGGCAGAAGCAGATGAGCTGGCTCAGGGCCGGATCCTTCCACTGCGACGCGTGCGGATTCTGGGAACAAGGATATCCGGGTTAATTTCCCGTAGAACCGACCAGCAGCTGCTAACCGTGACTCGGCTTCCGGAAGGAGGCGATCTATCTGGGCATTCTGCATGCTGGCTGTACCACAAGGGACGGGACCCCAGCTCAGAAAGTCCACCACACCTGGGTGGCTGAGTTTCTGCAAAATCGTTACAATCGCACCCTGCAGAGTCTGCACGTGGGGGACCCGCAGGGGGCCGCAGACGCATCTGCGGTTTCCCTCCAGTTCTGCCCAAGCCGTCTGCTCAGGCCTGCCTGCCAGACTTGTGCCCTGCACAAACATGAGCGTAACAATGGTCCCAGGCAGTTCCACGCTGCGTGTGCGAGGAGCTTGGAGACGCCAGGCCGCTAACCAGAACTGCCACCTGTCACTGTCCCGAAAGACCAGAGCGGCACTTTCCAGGGCGGCAGGACAATCGGGCTGCCACTTCCCCGAACCAGTCGGAAAGGAGTAAAGTCCGGGAGGCCAGGCCAGCACATTTAACCCGAAACCTGCGATCCGCCCACCAGGGTTTCCAGGAAAGCATGAAAGTCCATTAAAAACTGCAAGACTGCAAAGAAACGAACTCCACTGGCCTCTGAACGCACCTCGAGGGAATGCACAGGTCGGTCGCCTACACCCTTTCTATTTTTAGCTTTGCCTGGCAGAGAACCGGGCTCCTTCCTACCGGGCGAGCCAGGAATTTCTGTGGCTTTATCTAATCTGCCTGCTGGAGGAATTCGTCACGCGAGCCCGTGCGAGCCGGGCAGGGAGCGGCTGGGCCATGCTGACTCACAGCCCTTCGGCTGGGCGGCCGCCAGCGTGCTCAGACGCGTTCCGTCCCCAGAAAGTCCCGGTGACGAAACTGCCGCTTCTCGGCCTAAAGTGCCGGGCCCGCCCCCCGCCCCCCGCCCGGCCCTCACCGTCACCAGCACGCAGTGCAGGTCCGGGGGCTGCGCGGCGCCCTCGCCGCCCGCGTCCGCGCCCAGTAGCAGCAGCTCGGCCAGGCGGCCCGGGTTGCTGACGCGCAGAATGTCGATGTCGTTCTCGCAGCAGAACGCCTGGATCAGGGTGAAGTGGATCTGCAGGGCGACGTCCCGGTCGTCGTCCTCGTCGGCCGCCAGCAGGCACAGCACCACGTTATCCGGGTCTCTGCGGACGGCGCGGGAGGGGCGGCGTGAGGCAGTCACCAGCCCGGCCACCCTCGCACCTGCAGGCGTCGGGGCGTCCCGGGGGGACAGCGCGGGGCACTTACACGTTGAGCAGCTTGGCCGCCTCGTACACCCCGACGGTGAGGCTGCGCTGACTCCGGGCTTTGCTGAGCACCTCCTGCAGGGCATCGCCCACCGTGTCCATCCTACGTGCAGCGCGGGAGTCATGGGGCCCGGCCGTCCCCGTGCGACCCGCAGCCCCGCCACGCCCCGCCTCCCTCCCGTGCCGCCCCGCAGCCTCCCCGGACCCCGCCGACGCCGCCGCCCCGGGCCGGGCAAACTTTGCTGCGCGCGACCCGCTGCACGGGGACGCGCGGGGACGGCGACAGAGCTGCGGCTGGCCGAGCCTACGCACCTTTCGGTCTTCTGCTCTCCGGCCGGGAATTCCTCCAGAGTCATAGTGCAGCCGCAGGACCCCGCCGAAAGCTTGAGTGCGGGCTGCTCCTGCCTGTGCGTGCGGCGCGCTCGGTCCCCGCAGCCACTCAGTCGCTCGCGCCGGGCCGGAGCGCGACACCACCCGGCAGCTGCGTCCCAGCCACTGAGGACAAAGGGCCCCGCTCCGGGAGTTATCGGGCCAGCACTCAGCCAACCACGGCCTGCCTTATTTGCATGTGGAGCGGCCATTGGGCTATGCAAACGTGTTGATGTAGCAATTTGATCCCAGCTCCTGAAGCCGGGCGGATTGGAGGGAAGGGGGCGGGGCTACTGGGGGCGGGGAGAGGGGAGGCGGGGCCGAGTCCGGGAGGGGGCGGGGCGCGGTCAGATCCACGTGGGGTGGGGGTGGGGGTCGCCGGGGTCACCGGGTCGCCGGGCCCGGAGGTGACTTTGGCTGGAACCGAAGCATCCTACCGGTGTTCTACTGGGTGCGCATTTTTTTAATGGCCGTTTCATGGCTTTTAAGCGGTTGCTGTTAAAATCTATCTCCAGGGTTAGGCCACCCAAGTCTGGTAATTATTAGTAAGCAGGTCACATTAAAAAAAAAAAAAAAAAAAAAAAGAATGAAAGTGTGCCCAGACCTTTGGGGCAGAGTTACCCCCAGAAGTGTTGTTTACGTAAGTCAGGCAAAGCCGCTTATTAGTAGTAGTATTACCCCGGTGCCCTGATGGCTGGTTTGATTTATTTTTGGAAGGTTGCAAGGATTGGAAGCGCAAAAAAGAAAAACCAACGCATTTGTGCTCAGTCGTGGCGGCGAGCCAGGGTGGAATCTGCGTCTGAGAGCAGGGAGGCTCCCGCCCGCCCTATAACGGCAGCACCCGAGCGGGTGGCGGACCTCAGGGCTTATCCCGCCCGCCAACACCAACACCGGGTCCGCGTCCCCAGAGGCGGTCCTGGAGCCGAGCGGAGCGGGCGGGCGCCGCCGCACCTGCTGAGATCCGGCATCTGTTACCGCAGAGCCACACCGTGCATCACTGATGCGAGCTGCTGAATCACCCAGCTGCAGCTATGGGGCGTTTAGTCATACGCTAAATGTCACCTCTGAGGTAATGCAAGTTGGAGAAGGCAGGTGGGTGACAGGCCTTTGTCACTGCAAGCCGGAGTCGCGGTGGCTTAAGAACAAACTTTAACGTGTAGACGTTTGCTAAGTATTGAAAAATTCCCGCCTTTGGTCTGTAAGCTCATGCAATAAATGCAAACACGTTTCATAAACCTCCTGAAGCCTCCAAACCTGGTGCCGCTGTCTATTCCCACGCTGCACTGGACGGTGCTTAAATTATTAAGGTCAGACTCGGCTTCTGGTCCGAGAGGTCCCTTTCGAAAAAGCACATGGGAATTCTGTACCGATGTGTTTTTAACATTTTAGACAAAATATTCTCCAACTCTGCTGATCTTAATTTTGTATTTTTAAATTTTTTTATTAGTGCATGTTTGCAGTTCATAATGTTTACATTTTTGTGGGGGGAGTTGGTGCCTGTACCTAACACATTTTAATTCCTTTTTCATCCCTTTTCCCTCCCTGCACCCTCCCTCCATTTCTTTATCACTTCCCTTTTGAGAAAGATCTATCTCACGACTTCTTATTATCTTTTATTTTGCTCTTTATTTATAATGTGTTTCTCATATTAGAGAAACCATGCAATATTTAAACCTGTGTGTCTTATTTATTTCATTTAACATTATGATCTCAAGGTGCATCTATTTTCCTCCATATGATGCAAATTTATCCTTCTTTATGGCAGAGTAGTACTCCGTGATGTATAAATACTACATTTTTTTATCCTTTTATCTATTGATGGACATATAGACCATTTCCATGAGTCGGTTATTGTGAGTTGTGCTGCTATAAACATGGGTGTGCATGGATCACTATAAAATGATGTCTTTAACTCTTTGGGAAAGATGCCTAGATACTGATCTTAATTTAGTGGAGAAAGAAGTCATGGATTGGTTTTCTGGTCCAGTCTCACTTTGTACTCAGTCCCCAAGCGCACTGTCAGCAAGGGACTGTGTTTGAGGAAGGAGTGGTTGTCACACTGCCTGATTCCCAAGGGTGCTTCTCGGGTGTCTCATGTGCAGACCTGAGTCACGTTAGGGTGGAGCACATGCCCACACACTCAGGGTCCTGAGTTTGCTTCCCAGAGCTGAAAACAAAACAAAACCCCACGTGGACAGAGGCCCTTGGAGTGTGTGTTTTGCCAGCAAAACCTCATGGTGGGAGCCGCCCGCATTGTCACCTGGAGGTGGCCCAGCTGCGTTCTGTGGACTCCAGGCTTCCTTCCTCCTGGTTCTTTGGAAGGAAGTGTGACAGGGCTGACAAAGAATCAGGGTTGCACTGGCTTCTGGGCAATAGTGCAGTGACCTCATCCACTTGGAGTCCCTGGCACCGACACAATTCCTGCGTCCAGGAGATGCAAGGTTTATGGAGTTTCCTAGAATCCGAGAACCAAGCTCTCCGGATCCTGCAGTGCTGTGCAGAGCTCAGAGCCCCTGTTCTGCCCTGTTACAGACTGAGGACTGCACCCTTGAGCCCTGTCCCCTTCCTGTTAGTTTCTGCACTCATTGCTGTGGCCATGCTTGGACTGGAGTTGGGGACAAGCAGTATTTATTCCCTGCTGTCAGCTCACTGTGCTGAGAGCCCCGTGACTTTAGTCACTTGAATGGAAGCCAGGACAATAGGACGCGCATTGTGTACAGGAGGGAATGAAACTCAGTCCCGGCAGCCCGCCCAGCTCCACGCCGAGGGAAAACACGTGACACAGTGGAAAGCACAGGTTTTTCCCGCACACAAAACCACCCCGAGCGCTGCATCCGGCCTCAGGAGAGTATTGTTCACCCAGTGTCCGAGGGCTTTTCTCTGGAGGTAGCCTCATCTTCCAGGATGCAGAGGAGTCACTGTCACGCCTGACTCAGAAGAGTTACCTCATGACGCCTCGCCGCTGAGTCTGCCGAGGAGGAGGCTGGGGAGGTCTGCACTGGGCGGCAGATGACAGTCGTGCAGGAGGTGGCCATGGGTTGTTTTTTTCTCCTGGGAGCGTCGCTAGGGAATTTCTCGAGGTCAGAATAACAGCTGGATTTTTATAATCGGTATAGTAACTGCCAATCTATTAAATCATTTTTAAAACTACTCCAGGAGTTGAGCATAGAGTAGACACCTGTCATCCCAGAACTCTGGGAGACTGAAGCGGGAGGATCACAAGTTTAAGCTGCCCAATCTGGCCTACTTAGCGATATAGTAAGACCTTGTCTCAAAATAAAAAATATAAAGGGTTGGCTAGCTCTGAACAAAGGTCCTAGGTTCCATCCTCAGCACTGAAAAACAAAAACAACAATAAAGATGACAAAACAGTACTGCAGGTCGCCTGGTACCCAAATTATGCAGGACTAGAATGATGCTGTCATGTGTAAGAATTTCAAATTGTTCTATTTGGAAATCATGGAAATATGGACTCAGGATTTGTTAGTTATTTTAGCACTGCTCCTTGATTTGCACATTAAAAATCTTTTTGAAGCCAGGCATGGTGGCACATGCCTATAATCCTAGCATTCAGGAGGCTGAGGCAGGCGGATCACAAGTTTGATCCCAGCCTGTGTAATTTAGCAACTTAGTAAGTTGCTAAATTAATTGTCACAAAATGTTTTAAAAGGGGCCAGGGGTTTAGCTCAGTGGTTCTGGCGCCTGCCACGCAAGCACAAGGTCCCAAGTTCAATCCCTGGTACCGAAAAACAAAAAACAACAACAAAATGTTTTAAAACCGGGGCTGGGAATATAGCTCAGTGGGAAGGTGCTGGGTTCAATCCTCAGTACCATAAATAATAAATAACTGTGTCTTCCCATTGGATTGTATTCCCTGGGCTTCTCAGCAGCAGGCAACATGGCCCTGTGCCCTCTGGCCTGGTGCTTCTCTGCCTGCATTAACCCATGGGGCATGGGTGGTGCTGGGTTAGGGTACTCTGTCGCCACAGTGGGAGGGAGCACCATGCAGGGGCAACCAGGGACAAGGACGGGGCTTCTCCCAGCCAGGCCCGACTGATGGGAGAGGCCCAAGACTGAGGCAGCTTCTCAGAGACAGCCTCAGTCCTCACCACCACTGCTCACCCAGGAGCGCAAAGGAGCTCAAAGAGGGCGACTTCGCCCGCGACCAGGGAGGCCTAGAAAGATCCTCCGGAGTTCATTTGCCACTGGTGTCAGCCTGCAAGGCCTTGAGGACCAGCCCAGACTTCTGATGGACAGAAATTCTGAGATTAAAAACAGAAGTTGTTTCAAGCCACTCAGGTTGTGGGAATGTGTTACTTCCCAACAAAAACTAATATAATGCCTCTATTTTGGTATTCATTTATTTATTTGGGTTTGTTTTTTTTGAGACAAGGTCTCACTATGTAGTCCAGGCTGACCCTCCTGCCTCAGCCTCCTGAGAGCAGGGATCACAGATGTGTGCACCATGCCCGGCTTTTCTGTGTTTATGACTCCTTGCCTTGTGGAAATTCTCTCTGGCTGTTGAGAATCACTGCAATAGAATCGTGGTGTGGTTTGGAGCCTTGGACCAAAGGTCTTGAAGCGTAAGCAGGCAGGGCCCAGCGGTCCAGGGTTCGAGGTGGAAGAGGGCCTCTTCACGAGCCTTTGCCGGGCTCTCCCCTCAAGTGCAAAGCGCCCAGCAGGCGGCCGTGCCAGGACCAGTGCCCTTGGGCGTCTCTGCGGCGGGCCGGGCCCTGTCGAGGAGCTGGTACTACAACTGCTGCGGAGCTCAGAACTGAGTCACCTCAGAAAAGCGGAAGTAGAAAATCCATCCCTTCCGAGCAGCTTCTGGAAGGAGTCAAAGACATCATATTACAGGGATCCGTGCACACCCTCGCTTATAGCAGCACGACTTGCAGAGCTGTCTTGGACGCGGCCCACAGGGCCATCCCAGAGGAGTGGATGAGACCACGCTGTGTTCACACAGTGGAGCACTGCTCTGCCCCAAGGACAGACTGGAGTCACTGGCAGGCAATGGATGCAGCTTGAGACCACGATGTTATGTGAAACAAATCAGACGCACAAGCTTCAATTTGGCATTGCTTCTCCTACATGAGAAACCCAAAGAATAAATAAGTTAATGAGCAAAATAAAAGGCAGACAATAGG